ATACTGCGTGAGGGGTCTGAATGCGATGATAACCGCGAGGTTGTTATTGTCAGCAATGACGTAAAAGTATCTGCGAATATATCAGCAATGATAGGCGATTGATGTTGCTTAGCGGCACCTGCGAGGTGTCTACTAATACGCCCAAGCTCAAGGGCCCTTAAAGGATTGAGCCCAAATAGTTACGAAAGAGCATATGCTGCCTGGCATGCTATGCTACACTGCTTACAGATCAGCACTGACACGATTTATTTCACACTCGTGCAAAATTCTTTTGATTTGTGCATCTGCCGATATAGCGCATTTAGACCTGGTGATGGCACGTCAACGAACTAAAATGAAACCAGGCGCACTGCGCGCTTGAAAAGTGAGCCGGCACTGGTCAGGTGTGCCTCGTGCTCTCTGGCCTGGTCCGTCGGCTCTTGATGCTGCAAAGCGAGACGTGTGTCTCGCAGCACTGCCCTGATGGCACTGCCGTCCGATCGCTTGGTGAACTGATCACCGAGCTGCTGATCAGTCGGAACCCAAAAGAGGGGTAGTTGGCTGCGCTGATCGTCAGCGACAAACTCGTTGCTAACTTCCTCTTCTAGTGACTGCTTGAGGCCCACTAGGTCGAGCAAAAGGCGCCGCTCTGACGGGAGCTTGGAATAATCGTCTTTATGCATCGTATCGCACAAGCTGGCGCAATCTGTGAAATGAGCGAGCGGCAACAGACTCGGCGGGATGTCCTCTGGATGGGCATCCGGAATCTCTAGCGAAGCGAAAACACAGCGTGCAATCTGAGCACAGCCTAGAGCGTCTACTGCCGACATCGTTTCGGCTGCCAACGTAGATCTGCAAACTCTCTTGATGGTGCCCGATCTCCAATCAACAAGTCCTGCTCGAGCTCGATCTCCGCGTAGTAGCTTGGCTTCTGCGAGAAAACTCACGTAGCCAGCCTGCGAGCGAATCTTGATCTTCTTGTCCTTACTGGTTGCCCCCGCGGTCTTGGCGAGCAACTTGGAGATGGCGCCTTCAGCTGGCTCGTCATCGTTGGCCCAACTGGCGTCGTGGTACGTCACCAGGCACAGAGGTCCACGTAACTTAGGGAACTCCAAACCCACGTCCGCGTGCTTCCGCGCCAACTTGATGAGCCTGTTCGTCTCGAGCAAGTCCTGGATGGTGGGCTTGTTCTGGGTCCGCTGCCCCATGGCCACTCCAGCTGCCAGGTCGGGACGAGTCTGCGATGAAAGCCACCCGAGCGCTCCGAGTGCGGAGCGGTTGTCCAGAACTCGGCTGGCGTAGCATCTGACGACAGGTCCGTCTTGCGCTCCTTGCTGAGCGGAATCTCCTCGATGGTGTTCGCGTACTCGGTCTGTCGTAGATGTAGTACTTCCTCTTGATCTCGCCAGGCCTGCTTGCCGCAAAAGGTAAAAGGCAAGCCTCGCCAGTCGCCCCAGGGCAAAAGCTTCTGAAGCCCGTCGTAGAGGCCCGGGTACTTGTGCGAGATCCCCAGCAGCAAGTCGTCCACGTGGGCGACCACCACCGCACAGAGCTCACCGTGCTGGTCGTAGCCGTAGTACAGCGCTGGGTCTAGCGAGTGCTGGTGTAGGCGAAACATGTAGTTGTCGCTCAGCTTCTCCTCCACCGCCAGCAGTGTCCTCTTGAGCTTCGCCCACCATTGTCTCGGTGCCGTGGCCAGCCCGAAAACTCCCTTGAGGATTTTGATCAGCTGCTTCGGGTTCAGCCCAGGCAAACCTTCGCGAGGCTGGGCCATGTGCAGCTGCTGGTCGGGCTGCTCGTCGCCTTGCATGAAAGCCGCCTCCACGTCCGCCGCGTAGATCTCCAGGTCGAACCTCTGGCAGATGGTGAAGAACAGCATGGTCGAGTTGCGGGTGACCGTGGGCGCGTCCGTCCGCAGGTCGCCCTGAGCGAGGCGCGGGTCCATGTGACCCCCGACGCAGAGTCGGGCCTTTGCCTTGACCGGCAGCGGATGCTTGTCGGTCCGCAGCGGTGCGTTCTTGTCCCGGTACACGAACCGGCTGGGCAGGATGAGGCTGGGCTTGATCATGCCCCTGATCGCCTCGGACTCTTCGATGGAGAGTACCTGACAAGAGCCATACTTCTGCCACTCGCTCCACTGCTTGGCGGCCGCCTCCCTGAAGAGCTCCCGATCAGAGTCCTTGATGGCCCTCCAAGTGATCTCCTTGTCGGCCTGCTTGCGCTTGATCCTCTCGGTCACGATGGAGGTTTGCAGTACTTGTCTTGGAGCCGACCTCGAACGTTGGCGGGCTCCTCCTGCTTCGGGCCCGGCCGCTGCCTCCTGATCGGGCGCCGCCGCGCGGTCCCGCGAAGTTGCCCTTGCGGGCAGGGCACCAGAGCCTGCGTGCTCCCTCTCGGTCTGGAGTCGCTTGAAGGCCGGGCCGAAGTCGCCGCTGTCCCCTCTGTCGAAGGTAGCTCGACGTCGTCGGAACTCGTCAGGGCCGTAGGTTCGCCCTTCTTCAGCTTGTTGCGGCACGTCGGCGGGCAGCACCTGGATCTGCTCCTGCTGGGGCGGATCCTCGGAGACGTTCAGCCTGAGGTCGCTGTCGTCCGGGTTGTCGATGAATTCCCGCCACGCCTGCTCCATCTCGTCTGGCTTGACCTCGGGCTCGCCAGGCGCCGGGCGGATGTCCTCCACCTGGGCCTCTTCCTGTTCGAGCGAGTCGCGAGCCCGGTCGAGCTCGGCCACGGCCTGACCGATCTCGTCCCTGCCGTTGGGGAACCAGACGTCGTCCGGAGCGAGTGCCTTGATGTGCTCCGGGGCCACCAGCATGGTGCGCCCTCCTAGCGAGACCCAGGTGTTCTCGCCTTGGTGGCCGATGACTACGCGCGGCCTTCGCCAGATGCCCTTCTTGGCGTTGCGGTTGTGCTGCTCCCGCTGCTCCTTCTTCTTGACCTGGCGAAAGACGTAGCACATCTCGCCCACTGACAAGGGCGTCGCCACCGTGCGCGCGCGAGCCAGCATAGCTCGCCGGAGCTGGTCGTCGTTCTGCATCCTCATGAACGACTCGCGCGCCGCCGTCCGAATGGCATATCGGCGGCGAATCTTCTCGTCGTTGGCCGCGAGGCTGTGGGCGCTGTAATTGGCCGTGTCGTCGACTAAGTCTCCAGGCATCTTGGGGTCGCGTCCCAGCACCCACTGCGCGGGGCTGAAGCCTGCTCGCCTTCTCAGCGAGTTCTTCGCGCCCGATACCATGGTGGCCAGCGTCCGCATCTCGTCCTCGCCCCTGATCGACGAGTGCTCGAACGTCCTCGCCGCGAGCTCCTTCCAGCAAGCTCCCTGGCGTTCCACGCGACCGAGCTGCCAATGTGCCTGGCCAGCGATGGGCAGCTGCACCGTGTTGAATGACTGGAACAGCTCGCTGAGGGCGCCGCCGAATCCCTTCTCCATGTCGAAGTGAACTCGGTCGGGTACGCCCGCCCAGGAGGCCCAACACCTCTCGAACGCGGCAGCGAACTCTCGGCTGGTGTGGCGATCGATCAGCGTCGCGACATGGAAGGTGGTGGCCAGGTCGACGATGCTGAAGTACCTGTAGCTCTTGCCGTCGACGTCCTTGAGCTCGAAGCAGTCGAAGCCGACGTCGGCTCCAAAATCTTGCACGAAGTGGAGGTGCGCTGGTCTCCTCGCGCTCGGGCGCTGCTGCGAGCGGCACACCCCGCAGATCAGCCCCTTGACGGCCTGGACGGTGGCCGACTTAGCGCCTTTGAGTCGCAAGCTGCGGCCCAAATCTTCATTAGACGGATGGCCCAAGTTGACATGAAGTCTCTTGAGCATGGCCCGCTCGGCTGGCTTGCAGCAGGCTGCTGCTTTCTTTGTGAAAGTAATCGCGCCGACCCCGATCCTGCCGTCCACAGTATCTTCGGCCCGCACGTCGTGAGTGTCGGCGAAGTCGTCTCCGCCGCCCATGGGGTCTGGGCCCCCATCAGGCTCGCCCGTCTCTCCCAGGGGCGCGGTGTCGTTTACGTAGGCGGTGGCCTGCTCCCTGGGCACTGTCACGATGAAGGGCGACGAGTGCGACTGGCAGTCCACCTGGTAGGCGCGATGCCCTCCTTGCTGGCGAATCACCTGCTCCACAATGCGCACCACTGCTCTGCAGAACTTAGCGGGATAAACGCCAGACTTGCGCACCGCCACGTTGTCCCCAAAGGTCTGGTCGTGGTGCTTGCGGCTGCAGGTGCGCTTCAGCTGCTCGAACTCCTTGTGGGTAACGAGCAGCTTCGCGGGGTGCTTGATGAGCCCCCCCGTCTTGTAGCGTCGAGCTCCGTACTCGCACATGTCGCACCTCACCTGGTACACGCGCTCGTCTGCCAGCAGCTCCAAAATCGCGCGCTGTGTCCAGAGCCGGCTGGTGGCCGGGTTCTCGATCATGGCCACGTCGCCAGAGTCGAGCTGGTACTTGAAGAGGTCGCGGGCCAATCAAAGGAACGGCCGCTCCGTCCTCCAGATCCGTCGGAGCGCCTACCTGGCCTGCGGCGTCCGAAAGTTGAGGTGCGTGATGTTCGTGTAGTGGGTGCAGGGTAGCTCGATTGACACGAACTTCGGCCTTGAGGCGTAGTACAGGTCGTACGTCGCGTCGAGGTCCTTCTGCTTGCGTAAGTCCCATCCGTGATTGCGGTCGATCACTTCTGTGGCCGTCATCCGGCGCTTCCACGCCGCCTCGGCGATGCCGCCTTCGCCTCCGAACACTTGCATGACGTCCACGCGGTGGCTGCGAACGCTGTAGGCCTCCTTGACGTCCTGGACGTGGTCGACCACGTCTCGCGCAGCACTGGTAGCATGCTGCACCACGGGCTTGAGTGGTCTAGCCAGCCAGTCCGCGGTGAGCACCGTCTGAAAGGCGAAGGCGCTCAGCAAGCCCGTGACCTGGTAGAGGAGGCCGACGCGCTTGCCCTTCTTGATGCCTGACCGCCGCCTCGGGGCTGGCGACCCGTCCTGGCGGCCACCGCCGCCTAGTCCCTGCTCTGCTGAAGTTCCCGGGAGCCGCTCGGGCGATCCTCCTTGTCGGTCTCGCCCGCCTTCTCGAAGCCCATGTCGCTGGTGTCCATCTCGTGCGGCTCCGGAGGTCGCCGGCGCCGATGCCCGGCCCAGCTCCCCTGGCTTCCTGAGGCCCTCGTAGTCGTAGCCGCTGGCGCCACCCATTCGTCGTCCAGCACCACTTCCTCGGCCATCACTGCCTCCAAGGTGGTCTTGGCCTTCTCCGGGGGAAGGGGCTGCACTCCGTGCGCCTTTACCCGCCTGGCAAACCGCGCCAGGAGTGGGCTTGCCCGACTGTTGTTGAGCTCCAGGACCGCCCACTGCGCGTAGCCCAGGTCGTTCCTGAGCACCCGGCGGTAGTCCGCCGTGGGGTACTTGCCAAAGCGCATCTTGTCGGCCCCGGTGATCTGTGAGCTCGGATGAGCCACCGTCGCCGCGGCACTGCTGACCGCGTTCTCGACCTTCCAGCCATTGAGGCGCTGCCTGAGCTCCGGCACGGGCGCGCGCTGGTCGAACTCGATCTGGCGGTCCCGACGCAGCTGCTGGAGCTCCTCCTTGTTATTCTTGCCGCGCCCCGGGATGTAGTCGTCCTGCGGCGTGCTCTCGCGGCCCTCGGCCCTCAGCGCACGCAAGATCACCCGGAGCTGGTCGCACGTGGCGTCGCGCACATCCAAGTCGTAGCTTGCCACCTCGGCCTGCAGCTCCAGCATCCGCATGCTGGATATCGCCGGAAGACGGGCAATATTCGTCGTCGGCATGTTCTGGCCGCTGCCCCCCGGGCTCGTCTCCTTGGGAGATGTCGTACATCGCTGGTGCGACGGGGGCAGAAGCGCCGGCCGCTGGTTCGTGAAAAGCTGCGGTGGCTGGATCTGCCACGGCACGCGTCGTACTCGCTGGTGGAGCCACAGTTGAACTCGAGCCGGATGGCTGCGGTGATGATGTAGTTTGATGACTGCGTGCTGATGGCTGATCGATCTCGTGGCTCGCTACGGCTTGCTTGCTGCTGAAATCGAACATGCCGTGACTGAGTATCGCTGAGAGGTTTAGATCCCCGCTCGTCATGATCATGGCTGACTGACCTAGTACACGCTCCCCAGGCCTCGTCTTCCGATCCCGATGACGATTGACGCGATGGAATGTATGCGCTCATGGCCTGGCGCACCTGCTGCTCGAACAGTTCGGCGCTATCGAGCGCATTGCAGTCAGTATCCGACGGAGACTCGTCGGCCTCCGAGGCAACTCCTGGCTGGCGAGCCTCGGGCACCACCAGCTTGGCGGCGCTGGCCACAGCTGTCTCAGCATGGTAAGAAGCGCAAGGATGAAGACGAATCTCGGCCTTTGTATCCGAGACGTCCAAAACGGGCTTATAGTTCGGCGTGAAGCCTGTGATGTCCAGCGTCGGGTGTCCGGCGCGGCTCAGGCCCATCTGGATGTCGTGCTCGTCGATCGACTTGATGTCCAGCTTGCTGTCTCCGGCGTGGTAGACTATGTCCAGCTCGCTCTGGGCCTTGCGGCTGAGCAGCCCTGGCACGGCGCTGCGCACGATGCTCATGCGGACGGTGAAGGCCTTGCCGTTCACCGAACAGGGGATCAGCGCCGCCTCGAGGCTGAACGCCACCTTCGACGCCCCGAACCGGAACGGCTCCTTCTCGGGGTACTCGATGGGCTGGATGTTGAAGGCGGCCAGCCTCTTCTTGATGTCGCTGTACCAGTCGAGGCCGCCGACGCACCGAATGCAGGCCGCGTCGAAGGTCAGCTTGCCCCCCGACTCCTTCAGCAGGTCCTCGACGCTGAGGTAGATCAGCGCCGAGCTCGTCGCGGCCATCAGGCACTGGTGGTCCTTATTGGTGAAGAACGCCACCGCCGTAACTTCTTCGGGTAGCTCGGCGGCCTGGCGGATCTGCGCCCAATCGATGCTGCGCAGCGCACCGTACTTCCTGTCGCGAGCCGCGGCCCGCTGATCCTGCTGGTAGACCGCCGCGACCGTCATCTCCGCCACGTGAGGCTCCTGCGCGTCGCTGGTCTCGTGCGTGGCGATGTTCGTCCTGTTGCTTCTCTTCTTCGGGATGTCGGCCTTGGCGTTAGGGTCGTTCTTCTTCGAGCACTGCGGGTCACCGCGCCAATGGCCCTTCTGGCCGCATGCGCCGCAGTGTGTCCTGGCCTTCATCTTGGCGATCTTGGGATCGTCTCTCTTCGGCGGGTTGCCGCCGTCGCGCTTGGCGAAGTAGCCACGCGCCTGCTTCGCCTCCTTCAGCTTATCCTTGGCGCGCACCATCCTCTTGGTGAAGAACGCTACCTGCCCCTCCGCCTCGTCGATCACGTCCTGCAGCTCGTCGGGCAGCTCGTCCTCGTAGTCGTCGGAGCTGTCTGAGGACGCGCCGTCGAGCTCGGCCCTACGATCCTCCTCGTAGGTCTCCGTGGCGTACGCCCGCTTGTGGTCCTTGTTCTTGTGACCTCCGTAGCCTCCTTTGTCGTGGCTGTCCTTGTTGCCGTCCACGACCGATACCTTGGGCAAGTTGATCATCAACTGCCCCTGGATCTTGGTGGGGTTGAACTGGTTGCCCACACCGTTGAGCACGCTCGCCGCGCGCTCCGGGGGCAGGCGAGCCCCCTTGATGTACAGATCCGCCAAGACCTCGTCGGGCACTTGGATGCCCTTGGCCTTCAGCTTGGTGGCGATCCCATTGAAGCGGTTGTTGTAGTCGCGGATCTCCTCGTACCTGTGCCGGACGCAGGCAGGGCGCACGAAGGTCTCCAGCAGCGCTGGGGTCTCCAGCACTTCGATTTCGGGAAAGCGCCTCCCGAGGTACTCCAGGAACACCTCCACCGAGTCGTCACCCTTGATGGCGTCCAGGTCGAGCTCCTCGTGCGCCTCCTCGGCCTTGTCCTTGAGGCTGGCCAGCAAGGTCGCTCCCTTCTTGGGCGGCTTGACCTCGGTGCCGATCTGCCAGGTGGCGACCTCTCGGCGGTACTTCTTCATGGTCTTGCTCGTGCCATCGAAGACGGGTACGGGGATCTTGCCCCCGTTGCTCTTGTCCTCGCCGCTGGCTGTAGCGGCTCCTCCTGTCACCATGATGGCGACCCCGAATGAGAGGTACAGTCGCAATGACACGAGCCTGTAGTGCCTGCTAAATGATTCTGCAAAGTCGCGCACGTAGCTGCCGTGGTCGAGTTAGCTCCTGCTACCAATGCAGACCCAATACTGCGTGAGGGGTCTGAATGCGATGATAACCGCGAGGTTGTTATTGTCAGCAATGACGTAAAAGTATCTGCGAATATATCAGCAACGATAGGCGATTGATGTTGCTTAGCGGCACCTGCGAGGTGTCTACCGATACGCCCAAGCTCAAGGGCCCTTAAAGGATTGCGCCCAAATAGTTACGACAGAGCATATGCTTGCTGGCATGCTATGCTACACTGCTTACATATCAGCACTGACACTATTTATTTCACATCCTCCTCCTCCTCCTCCTCCTCCTCCTCCGCCCTCCTCCTCCTCCTCCTCCTCCTCCTCTCCTCCGCCTCCTCCCTCCTCCTCCTCCTACCCCTACCCTCCTCCTCCTCCCCTCCCTCCCTCCTCCCTCACCTCCTCCTCTCCCTCCTCCCTCCTCCCTCCTCCCTCCTTCTCCCCTCACTCGCTCCTCCTCCTCCTCCTCCTCCTCCTCCTCCTCCTCTCCTGCTCCTGCTCCTGCTCCTGCTCCTGCTCCTGCCCTGCTCCTGCTCCTGCTCCTCCTCCTCCTCTCCTCCTCCTCCTCCTCCTCCTCTCCTCTCTCCCATCCTCCTCCTCCCTCCCCCTCCCCTCCTCCTCCTCTCCCTCCTCCTCCTCCTCCTCCTCCTCCTCCTCCTCCTCCTCCTCCTCCTCCTCTCCTCCTCCTCGTCTCCTCCTCTCCTCCTCCTCCTCCTCCTTTCTCCTCCCTCCTCCTCCCTGCTCCTCCCCCTCCTCGTTCTCCTCCTCCTCCTTTTCCTCCTCCTCCTTTTCATCCTCCTCCTCCTCCTCCTCCAGCCGTTCTGGCACATGCAACTGTGATTGTTGGCATCTACTTCAGAGCGGCACAAGGTGCCAACGAGCCATTCTGGCACGATTCTCTCAGCGCCATGGCCCCGTTCAAGCCCATGCCATGGGGGGCGACCCCAGCCTGGGCTCATGGGTTCGCCTACGCGCCGCAGTGGCCACAGTGGGGCGCCCCGCCGTATCCTGGTGCACACCCTGGTGCTCCCGGCTACAGTGACGACGGCGGCCCTGCTGGTCGCTGGACATGTACATTCCCAGACTGTCGGCGCAAGAAGAACGACTCCCGTGCCAATGCTTGCAAGCACTGCAAGCGGCCGAGAGGTGCTACTCCAGGGGCGGCGCCTCCGGGCTCATGGACGGGGGGAACGTCATCAGCGCAGCGACAAGGCGACTTTCCTCCTCTTCAAGCGGCTTCTGGTGGACTGCCGCTCAAGGCTGGGCCACAGTCGCAGAAGTATGACAACTATTCGGCGGACGAGCTGCAGCAGCTCATTGACATCGCAAATAAGCACAACGACACAGCCAACGTGGGTTTCTACAAGGCGGCCCTCGAGCGACGCCAAGCAAAAGATCGTCCTGCACCTCCGAAGCCTCTTCAGCGACAGTCCAACGATGCGCATCAGGCCCTCAAGATCGCTGAACGCAGGCTCGAGAAGGCGCTGGGCAAGTTGGATTCGGCACGCATATGGGTCACAAAGAAGCACGAAGATGTGGTCAAGCTCAAGGCAGAGTTGGCAGAGAAGGACCGCATCAACACTGACCTCGTTGGCCAGCTACATTCTGCAGTGCGCAAGCCTCAGCAGCAGGCCAACAGCACGGCGACGCAGATCAATGCACGCGACCTTCTTGAGGGGCGGTTGTCGGAGATCAGCATCGCTGGTGGCGACGAATTGTTGGACATCCCGTCGGCAGAGTACGATTCTAATTCGGAAGATGTCACTTTATTGCAGGGCAAGCAGAAGGAGCTCCTGGCTGGTGTGCAGGAGCTGGCCAGCACGCTGTACGCCGACCTGGTCAAGACTCTCGACACGGCGAAGAAGGAGTACAGGGAGAACCTCTCGAGCCTCTCGCAAAAGAAGCGCAAGGTCGAGGACGGCGCCGCTCCTGGAGGAGGTGAAGGAGACGCGCCTGCCGCTGCTGGCGGCGGAGGCGCCCCAGGTGCTGCCGCGGCAGCGGCGGCCCAGGCAGCTCCGCAGGACGCCGCCGCGGCCGCCAACCTCCGAGAGCGGGCCGCCCGAGCTGCTGCCCAGGCCCCTGAGTCACAGGGACCCCCCCCCCCCCGAGCCATCGCCATGAGCTCGAGGGGGCGTGCCAAGTGAGTGCAGTTAAGCTTTTCCAGCAGCATGGCCCCACACAGGGGCAAACTTTTTACCATATGCAGCCTGGCCAGTCTAACATGACCCAGTGCAATGGTGTCCTCAGAGCCCCAGCCCACCCAGGCCCTGACGATTTTGAGTTACTTGTTGAGATCATTAACACCAGCAGTTGGGCGTCGGCCAAGCCCTGGCTTTTAAAAACCCCCGCCCATATAATTTTAGTTCAGGAGCATCACTTCGCAAATCAGGCCGCGGTTGATGAAGCTTCGTCTTGGTGTCGTCGCCACGGCTGGCTCGCTCGAATTACTCCTGCCCTGGTCACGCCCGATGGGGGCTCGTCTGGCGGCACGGCGATTTTGGTTCGAGCTTGGCTAAGCTGTTACGACATCACTAAGGGACCAGAGCTCTACCCAGGCCGAGTGACGGCCTGCTGGGTGCAAGTACCTGACGGCGTCACCATTTTGTGTTGCTCCATCTACCTCGAGGACTCCGGAGGATTATCTGAACTCAACCTTGGCGTTTTAGCCAAACTCGGTTCCCTCCTCAACTCCTGCTCCTCCCCCTACATCGTGGGGGGGGGATTTTAATATGCCCCCGTCTGAGCTCGCCGAGTGTGATTTCGCGGCGGGCCTTTCAGCCAACATTGTGTACCCACCCAACTCCGTCTCCTGCGCTAGCACGGCTGCGGCAGGTGGATCCATGCTCGACTATTTTGTCTGTAGCCCAAGGCTCGGGAAAAGGGGTTGCTGGTACGTCGGTCGTGTTGAATGCGGACACTCGCCCCCGTCGACCCGTCCGAGTCAGGTTCCATCAGTCGCTCGCGGACCTTCAGGTCCTCACTTTTGCGCGTCCCCCTCCGATTCCTGGACCCATCCCCGTCGGGCCCTTCCCCATGCCAGCCTGCTGGCAGGATACGCTTGACTGCGCCGAGCATGCCCTTGCCTTGGTTCGTTCGGGGGCGCCCAAATCGTCCATCCAGCGTCATGTTAGTTTGTTATATAAGCTGTGGGCCAATCAATCTGAAGAGGAGCTTGAGGCTGTGTACCAGATGGTTCTGCCGATCCGAGAAACTCGAGGCAAGGTTCCCAAGCTCGCGTGGAAGTCGGTGCTCGCCCGAGACCGCAGCCGCAAGCCCAGGCAGCCGGCGCTCTACGCTCTCAGGTGGCTCGAGGGCAGTTTGAGGATGTTCATCGCTTGCGCTAGCACGGACCGCTGGTGCCAGGCCAGGGATATCTCCAAAGTGTTGTGTTCGCCACCCAATGACATCAGTGATCATTTGATTTTGTTTCAGGACCTGGCCCAGCGAGTCAAAGGTCATGTGGAGCCTATTTTTGATGGCGCCACTGGCATAGGAAACCAGTGGCAGGCTGCGGGTCACGATACCCTTGCTGCCGTGAGCGAGGCTCTCGGCACCTACTCGGCCACTGCCAGGGCCGAGGCTGCCGCTGTTTGGAAGGAGTGGTTGTGCGACGGGCTGGAGGGGGGAGGGAAGCGTGCCTCACTAATTGGACCCGCCCCCCCCCCCCCCCCCCCCACCCCACCACCACGCGGCCTGGGCCCCCACCCACACCGTCTCCTCCAAAGGTAAGGTTTTAGCGGACCCCAAGAGTTTGTTGCAGACTGAATGTGCCCGTTTCTCGGGGCTTTGGAGGGCCCAGGAGGCCCCCTTCCCCAAGCAGGGCTTCGTCAAACCCTTAGAGTGGCTTGAACCCGACCGCATACGGCAGGCCTCCAGGTCGTACAGGCCTGCCTCAACCGTCGGAGTCGACGGGTTTCACTTGCGGCATGTCCAGGCTCTAAGTGACGATGCCCTCCATGTTTTGATGACCCTCTGGTCGGTTATGGAAAGCACTGGTGTGATTCCGAAGCAGGTTCGCATTTTGAGTTTGGCCCTTCTTGCAAAACCGGCTGGGGGGTGGAGGCCGATCGGCATCTTTGCTGGCTTTTACAAGCTATGGGGAAGGCTGCGGCGGCCCATCCTCCAGGCCTGGGAGACCAGCGTGCACAGGCCCTACCTTGCTGCCTCGGCCTTTGCTGGAGCAGGGGACGTTGTGTGGCGGCAGTCACTCCGATCGGAGGCTGCTGTGACCAATTCGCAGGTGTCTTGCAGCTTGCTTTGGGACCTCCACAAACTCTTCGAAACCATCTGCCCCGATAAGCTCAAGGAACGCTGCAAGCACCTGGGCTTCCCGCCGCAGATTGCCTACGTCTGCCTCAACATGTATGCAGGACCGCGTTTTATCATGTTGGGCACGATGGTCCAAGGGCCATTTTTTGATCTTAGAGGTGTCATAGCAGGATGCTCGGCCGCCACCAGCTTTGTGCGTGCTTTTGTTATCCCGTCCCTCGATCTTTTATCCCCGAGAATGCAGCGTTGCCTCGATGTTTACATTGACGATTACGGCTATTCTGTTCAGGCTCGCCCCTGTGCGATCGTTAATATCGTCGTCGAAGCCGCCGCTGAGCTTCACATGCTATCGCGGAAGATATGGATTGCACTATTTCCCTCGATAAGGCTTCTCTTGTCTGTTCCCCCCCCACCCACCCACCCACCCACACACACGGCGCTCGCATGAAGACACTGTTGGGCCCACTGGCTGGACAGCCAAAGGCCACTGATGTGAATCTAGGTGTTGATGAGACGGCGGGAATGGGGGGAGAGGTGGCAGGAGAGGTAAAACGTATGCTAAAAGGCGCCGTATATTTAAACAGCGGCAAGCGAGGTTCCAGCGGCGCAAAGCCATGCTTGGCCGACACACGTGCCGCATTTTTAGCGCTGGCCCGCTTGCAGGATTGAATTATGACGCTGGCACCTATGGTATTTCAGACTACGAACTTGCCTGTGCCCGAAGAGCCTTACCTGCCACCCTGAAGCCGTCCTCGGGCCAGCGTTCCCTCACCTCCCTCCTTATCCTCTACCAGGGCCCCACGTGGAGGGCCGCTGTGGCCCCGATCGTTCGGTTTTCGAAAGAGGTTTGGGGGGCTCAGTCGAGGTTGTCTGACCATGCGTTGCCCTTCTCTGCGCTGGGTGCGGCTTGGAAAACTAGCTTCGTTGATCACCGCGCTCCCGTCTGGCGTCAGGTTCGAGGCCCTATGCAGGCCATGCGTTTATCTCTTGCTCGGATCGGATGGCACATGCCATCTTGGCACACCCTCGTCAACGATTTCGATGGCGAGATCCCGCTCACGACTACGTCGCCAGCTCTCGTGGCCGATCTTTTGTTCGAGGGGGTCATCCGCCCGCACCAGAGGGCGGTGGGCGACAAGATAGGGAGTGGGAGGATGTGCTCTGACGTCGTGGCCTCAGAGTTGCGCCGCTCGGCTCACAAGCCGCGCGATCGTGGAGTGATCAGGATGATCGCCTGCGATGGCGCTTGGACTAAGGGCCGCGCCATCGAGCGCGGGTGCCTGCTTCAAGACAATATGTGCCAGCTTTGCGGCGCTGCTCCTGATAGTTTGCTGCATCGACTTTGGCAGTGCCCGAGCGTCTCTGATCAGCGCCAAGAGGCCTGTGACGCTGCCATTGTGCAAGACGCTCTACGTGTTATTGACGAGGGCACTGACAGTGAAAATATTGTATTTTCCAGGGGTATCTTCCTTCACCCAGGGGACTGGTTGCCGAGGCCCTCGGAGGCTGGAAATATCGTCCACGTTTTTGCTGGTGGTCCTGGGTCCGTGCCTGGAGCCGCCGGCGTTTCTGGTGATGTTTTCTGGGACGGTTCGTCCTACAAGCGTGCCATCAAGGAGCTGTCAAGGGCTGGCTGGGGCTTCGTTTCTGTGGACCATCTAGGAGAAGTAATTGTTTCAGTCTCGGGGGCGGTGTCCAAGCCCTTTCCCCAGACCTCTCAGGCTGGGGAGTACAACGCGTATGCAGCTACAGCTCAGTGCTTGGAGGGGCCCACAACGGGCTACGCGGCTTGCGAAGGGGTCGTTAGGGCCCACTCTGCTCCCAGAGCTGTGCGTTTCTCATATAAGAAGAAATATTCTGGCAGTGCTGTATTTGCTTCCTCCAAGTTTTGGCGCGATGTGAGGAAAGTAAAGGATCACACTGTCGAGTCTGCCGACATGACGGATGAGGAAAAATTTGTCAAGCTCGGCAGCGACGCGGCTGACAGAGCTGCGAAGCACGGTGCGTCACTCCACCCGCAGGCCAGTGCGGACGAGATGGCGCAGATAGATCGAACAGTTGCCTGCGCTCGAACTGTATGTAGAGTTGCCGCTGCGGTTTTACCCAGCTGGCCGAAGTTAGATCTCAGTGAAGTGCAGCGTGCCATTCCCATGCCACCTCCTCCTTCGCTTGAGCCTCGCTTCGACCACCAATGGGAATGGTATCGCGGTATCTGGCGGTGCATGTTCTGTCTCCGTTTTCGTCGCTGCGCTGAGCGACCTTCCTTGGCAGGATGCCGCGGTGAGCCACCGCCTGCTGTGCAACTGATTTCGAATTTGGGTCACCGCATGCTTGCATTGCAATGCAGTGACGAGTCGCCACTCTTCGTTTGCGTCAGGTGTAAAGCCTACACTTGTCTCGGCAGAGTGCTGCGGCTTAGCCGCCACTGTGATCCCGCCAAGAGTGGCCGTAATGACTGGGACCGTTGGCGGCTCATCCAGCGTGGGCATCACCCTAAGCTCAAAGGGGTTAGCGTCGAGCCCATGCCCGATATGGATTCGTGAATCCCACGGCCATATATTTTTTTCTTTCCCTCAGGTCACCTGTAGGGCGGTGTCGACTGAGAAAAAAAATCCTCCTCCTCCTCCTCCTCCTCCTCCTCCTCCTCCTCCTCCTCCTCCTCCTCCTCCTCCTCCCCCGTCCTCGCCATGCGCCCCCTGACCCTCCACCTCGTCGCCATCGCTCCTTTCCCCTGGTCGCCCCTGTATCTTGCGAGCAGCCAGTCGAAAACCTCGAAGAGAGGGCGGCTCAAGGGCCGGCCGGGGCGGTCCTGCCGGGGATGGTCCAGGCGGTGACGCCGGTCTGCGGGTTGTAGAAATAGGTCTGGCCGCCCTGGGTCACCTGGGGCGGGCGGGCGTCTGCTCCTGCTCCTGCTCCTGCTCCTGCTCCTCCTCCTCCTCCTCCTCGTCCGCCTCCTCCTCCTCCTCCTCCGCCTCCTCCTCCTCCTCCTCCTCTTCCTCCTCCTCCTCCTCCTCCGCCTCTTCCTCCTCATCCTCCTGCTCCTCCTGCTCCTCTCCTGCTCCTGCTCCTGCTCCTCCTCCTCCTCCTCCTCCGCCTCCTCCTCCTCCTCCTCCTCCTCCTCCTCCTCCGCCTCCTCCTCCTCCTCCTTCCTCTCCTCCTCCTCCTCCTCCTCCTCCTCCTCCTCCTCCTCCTCCTCCTCCTCCTCCTCCTCCTCCTCCTCCTCCTCCCCCCCTCCCCCTCCCCCTCCGCTTCCTGCCTCCTTCCATTCCCCTCCGGGCCTGTTTCGGCCGCCCGCGGGGCGTCGGGGTGACGGGGACGGGGAGGGGGGTGGGGAGGGGGAGGGGGGAGGGAGGGAGTGGGGAGTGCGGGGAGGGGCGGGAGGGGGGGGGGGAAGAGGGGTGGAGGGGCGAGGAGGAAGGGCTCAGGCCGGGCTGGCGGCTATGTTGCTTGACAGCGTGGTTGGGAACCGAGTTGTAGGAAGTCGCGAACCAGTTTCCTCCATTTCCAACCTGCGAGTGGATCGAGCGAGAACGACACGGCGACTTGCAGGAAAGCACGAACGCCGCGTTCCCTCAACACCGGTACGCACCTGCATCGCCAGTGCCTACATCGCCGTGAGCCCGTCTACGGGAACGGGGGGAGGGGGGAGGGGGGAGGGGAGTGGAGGGGAGCCTGGAGGGGACGGTGATGGTTCAGACTTCCCCCCCCCCGGCAGCGGCACCGGCGGCTGGCCGAGCGGCAGAAGCAGTTGCCCCAAGCCGCAGGGCAGAAGCTCACAGCGCGCCAGCATCGGCCAGGCCTACGCCCGCCCCGTCGCGCTCGCAGTCGGGCACCACGCGCGAGGGGCATCAAGGCGGTGCCGGATCAGAGAAGCGCCCGGCCTCAGCTGCCAGCAGCGGGCCGATGGGTGTTGTGCGGCGGGTCCGCGAGGGAAAACAACCAGACCTTCCCCGTCCCCCTGCTCGTTTTACGCTGGCAAGGCTGCGAGCGACGACGCTTGCGGTGTTTGAGTGCTTGGACGGTCTCCGCAAGCACACTCCGAGAGCGTGCGGCAAGATCAGAAGAAGGGTGTCATCATCGCAGTACAGACTTGGCGGCGTCGGAGGTACGACGAACCCCGGAACGTGGAGAAACCCGCGAAGAAGAGCTCATCCGTACGGTCAAAACTGATGGTAAGGATGCGCGACACACGTATGCAAAGGCCCTGGGCGGCCATCTTCGAGCGGGGCCGGCCACCGGAAGTGGTCGAGGGTGGACCCAAGATGGCCGCAAAGGCCAGGATGCAAGGGTACCCTTGGGAAGTCGATCATCCTTTCGATCATAGGGGAACATAACCTGACATAAACAGAAAAATTCGGAGGTCCGCGCGGATTTCTCGGATCGGCGCTGGGGCACCCCGGCGGCGCCTCCGGCGCCGTCCCTGGCGCGCTCCGCGCGCCAGGGAGGGGAGTCCAGCGCCGATCCGAGAAATCCGCGCGGACCTCAGAGTTTTTATGTTTATGCCACTTGTTGTTCCCCTATATCAGTTTTGACTGTGTTGGTGCTGCGGCGATGGCAAGAACGTGCACGATGGCACCACGGCTCCCTTGCGCCTCCACCGACCGCCTCTTCCCACGACCCCCCCCCCAATCCTCCAAGATCCCCCCCCCCGTCCCTGAAGTGTTTTAGGCTAGCGCGTCCAAGATGGCCCAAGGTGGCTCCAAGAGTCGGGAGCGGCCAAGAGGGGGGTGTCCAAGAGGGGGGGGTGCAAATCATGACCGGCGGCATGTGCGCGGCCCAGCGGGGGGGCCAGGGACGTAATGAAATTAGAAGAGGCGCCATGAAATCTGGGGAAATATCATGGCCCCCGCCATGATATCTACCCCCCCGTAGTCATCACCCCCCTCTTTTCCGCCCCCGAAAGAGGGCGCCCGATGCTCCAAGATGGCCCAAGATAGCCGACGATGGTTCAAGATAGCTTCCGAAATACCTCCATCATACCTCCAAGGAGGCCCGACGAGGGCCTCAAGGCGTTTCCAGGTGCTCTGGGAGCCCCCTTAGGACCCCCCCGAGAGGCGCAAAGCTTTCCGGAACACAAGGGGCATCAATGTCGCCTTTTCGCTTTCGTCATCGTCGTTTTCCTCCTCCTGCTCCTCCTCCTCGTTCTCCTCCTCCTCCTCCTCCTCCTCCTCCTCCTCCTCCTCCTCCTCCTCCTCCCGCCCCCACGCGGGCCCCAGGGATGGCTCTACGAGGCCCTCCAAGGCCCCGCGCTTGCTCCCAGAAATCTCCCGTTTCACGCTGGTTGTCCGCCTTGTTTCATCACATGACTCTTCGTCCCTTTCCCCGTCAACTCTCATGGGCAGGGGTTCCGAATGGGGTGGTGGGGATACTTTTTTGGGGTCCGCGGCTCCGAGGCGAGAGACAGGGAGCGAGCACAACGTCCGGGGCGCGGTACGTCATTAAAGGGTGGTGGGGATACGCGAAGCGTGAAGAATGAATAATCCAAGTACTTGTTTTTTCGTTCGAGTATGGTTAGGTCGGGCATGTCCTCCTACAGGCGGTTTAGAAGAACAAATAAAACGTAGTCAAAAAACATCAAACATAGCAACACAATAATCAAAACATCGTCCCCAGACTATTGTTTTACTATTTGTGAATATTTCCCTTGTAGAGGGACATGCCCGACTTAAGAGTATGGTGCTGCGATGCCCAGATGCCGAGAGAAGGAGCGCATCGCGAGCGTTGCGCGCGACGCCTGCACCCAGGGGCCGTTGCCGCCGGCGGGCGCCGCCGCGGGCACCTGCGCGGCCGCGGGCTGGAAGACGCCAGCGCCCGCGCCTTCCACGGCAGGGGAGGGGGGCACCGGTCGTCCTCCTGCTCCTCCATCAGATTCGCCTCCTCGTGTCCCCCACCCTCCTCATCACCCGTCCTCATCCCTGCTCCTCTCTTCCACCACCCTCCTCCTCCTCTCCCTCCCTCACTCCCCCCCCAGGGCAGTTCAGTTCCCCCTCTCTGTCTGGCAGAGCGCTGCCGGAGAAGGAGCGCCAAGGCAAAGACCCATGGTGCCCTTTGAGAGCCTCGCGCCAGACAGCATAGGCGTCTGCCTCCAGGCTGTGCCCGACTGACCCTACAGTCGTGGTGGATTGAAGAGGGCACGCGAGAGGACGCAAGACTCTTCCGAGGGCCACGTTGCCGTACGAATGTAGAAGCGTGGCTCGCGAGGCACAGGACACAAGGGTACCCTCCATTTGGCAGGGTCGACCTTCTAGTGAGTCAGCCTCGACTGCAGCACGCCTGGAACCCTCCTCAGCCCCTCTCCTCCCTGGTCTTTCTGGCTCCATCGGTGGAAGCTCGGCGCGCGGCGCAGCCAGGTCGAGGCCCCCGCGCGCCTACGATGGCTCTCTCTCGGCGGGCCGCCCTGCTTCGTCCCCTCGTCGTGATCGACACGGCGATCAAGGACTGCGGCTGTAGGTGCGCCGCGGTGCTCTTCGTCGGGCGTCCCGGCTCGATCCCTCGTCGTGCTCGGCACGGCGATCATAGGCGACCGCACGTGAACCCTACCCCCACCCCCCAACGATTTCTGAGGGAGGGTGGGGGTTCACTTCGCTCTGGAGCTCCCGAACGAAGTGACCCCCCCCCACCGCCCCTCAGAACTCGTGGGGGGGAGGGGCAGGGTTCACATGCGGTCACCGAGATCGGGGCTCATCTCTCCGTGTTCAGAGCGGTGTTTGCCCTGGAGCTGCGACTTCGCCGCAACCTGGTGCGCAGGTTCGCCCTGCCACTCCCAATCTGCTGCCCGCGTGAGACTGCACTCCGGCACACACATGCAGCATCTTCACGGTCTGAGCGTGCTCAACCGCCCGCGGCCTCTTCCCCCCCTCCTCCTCTCCGGGCCCCTTCTTTTCTCATGTTGTGGCCAATTCGGCGCCAGTGCGTCCCCTGTTGCCCCGACCGCGGCTTGGAGCAAAGTCGCCGCCGACAAAGTCGTCGCGGTGCTCCTCACACTCAACGTGGGCATCGGCTGCAAGACCGGCCGTGCACGGCGGCTTCGGGGAAGCGGTGGCCCTCGTCTTATGCTGCGCCTTGTTCGCCTTCGTTGTCGGACTCTTGCACTTCGCTTTCGTCGCTGCGAAAATGGCCACGGCCTTCGTGGGCTTGGCCATGCCGTGGGGGGAACATCATTATTTTGCTGACACGACTTCTGTTGTCGCTCAGTCTGTGTTCTCCTGAATTCGCATATTCCCTCTCCCTTTTCTCTCCTCCTCCTCCTCCTCCTCCTCATCATCATCATCATCATCGTCATCATCATCATCAGCATCATCAACATCACCCTCATCGTCATCATAATCACCATTATCACCATCATCACCATCATCATCCTCATACTCATCCTCATCCTCACCGTCACCATCATCATCGTCATCGTTACCATCACCATCACCATCACAATCGCCATCACCATCATCACCATCACCATCATCAGCACCAGTATTAGCATCATCATCATCATCATCATCATCATCATCATCATCATCATCATCACAAAGACCAACAGTATCATCATCATCATCATCAGCATCAGTATCATCATCGTCATCATCATCATAGTCATCATCATCATCATCATCATCATCATCATCATCATCATCACCATCATGGTCATCATCACCACCATCACCATCACCATCACGATCAACACCACCATCATCATCAACATCATCATCATCATCACCATGACCATCATCACCACGATCATCATAGTCATCATCACCACCATCACAAGTCTCACCAGTCTCACCAGTCTCACCATCACGATCATCACCATCATCATCATCATCATCACGATCATCATCACCACCATCCTCATCACCACCATTGACATCAACACCATCAGCAACAGCATCAGTATCATCAGCATCAGCATCAGCATCAGCATCATCATCATCACCACCACCATCATCATCATCATCATCATCATCATCATCATCATCATCATCATCATCATCATCATCATCAGCATGAGCATGAGCATAAGCATGAGCATCAGCATCATCCGCCTCCGAACATCCTGCCTATCCTGCTCCTCATCTCCTTCTCCTACTCACCCATCCTCCCATCATTCTTTCATTAGTTCGTCCCTTCACTGCCGCATCCTGGCTTCGTCCGATCGTCCCGTTCCGAAATCGCCCTTTCCCCAAGTCCCCTCCGCCGCCCCCCCTGTTCCTCCCCTTCCCGTCCCTCCCTTACCGTGTCCTCCCCTCGTTCTCCTCTTCCCTCCCTCCCTTCCTCCTCCCTCCCTCCCTTCCTCCTCCCCTCGTTCATCGTGCATCTCTTCCTCCCCATCCTCCCTTGGTCCTCTCACCCTGCTCGTGCACGCGGAGCGCCTAGAAAGCCTCCACGAGTCCGCGGACGAACTGCGGAAGGGCGGGTGGGACGCGCAGAGACATACTAGTACTACATGTCCTCCTTGAAGGAGCGCGTCCGACCCGAACATCTAGTAGACGTCTATCATTTCCCAAGCGGTGTGGCAAGAAAGCGCCAGTAACGACGCATATGCTATAAGATTTCTCGAAGCGCGCGTCGCCCCTATGGGGGCGACGCGCATATAATATTAGTATGTTGGGGCGACACAGAGGGGGGGGAGAAAGCAACACCCACGCGGGTGGCCGGAGCTCCCGTGGGTACACCCCGATACCCCTTCCCCACTTCCGCCATTCCGCTCCTTCCCTTAGCATTCGGCATCGCCACCGCATCCGAGCCAAATATGCGCCCTTGCTCGGGCTGCGGCTTCACGGACAGGTCACGCGGCAGATGCCAGATGCCACAGGACCGTACCGCAGGCTGGCGTTATCGTTTCAACCGCTCGCAATCTCCAATCCCAGGATTTCCACAATCACCAGTGATTGGAAATGCAACGTTGATAGGGTAGGGTACCGGGTACCCAACCGCACGTCGCCCACCACAAGCAAGTGCCTGTACTCCTCAGCAGCGCACCTCACTCCAGGACTGCATCCTCCATCGGGTAAGAACAGCAGAACAATGCTGTAGAACATGGCTCCTCGAATTGCGTGTTCGGTAAGGTTGCCTCCGTCGGTCTCGACCACCACTGTATTATCATCTGGTTAATGTGTCCGCACCCTAGTTCCAAACTCGTGCTCGACAGTCCACTGGGTCCCAAGCCATCCTTCGTGAACAAGCCTGGTGCACACTCACAATCAATACAGCATTACGCGCGCTTCGCACTGTCAAGAAAAGCGTCAGCCAGGGCGCTACAATGCCCGCGACGAATCCAAGCTGTAGACGCAATGCTTGCCTCAAATCGTCCTGCTACGCATGTTCACCCCGTCCTTCTATCCTCCTTCCCTTCCTCCCCCCTCCTTCTTTCTCCCCTCGCCTCACCCATTCAGCCCTCTTCGTCCCACTTCCTCTCTCATCATACCTCCTCCTCCTCCTCCTCCTCCCTCCTCCTCCCTCTCCCTCTCTCTCTCTCCCTCCAGCTCCCTCTCCACCATCCTCCTACTGCGCCTCCATCACCATTCCTTCCCTCACTCATCCTCCGTCTCTTGTACCCCCTCTCTGGCCCCCGTGTTTCTCCTCTTCCCTCCTGCAGCCCATACGACTTCACACGTTCTCATCCCTCACACCTCACAATTCCCCCAACCTCAATCATCCCTCCTCCTCCTCCTCCTCCTCCTCCTCCTCCTCCTCCTCCTCCTCCTCCTCCTCCTCCTCCTCCTCCTCCTCCTCCTCTCCTCCTCCTCCTCCTCCTCCTCCTCCTCCTCCTCCTCCTCCTCTCCTCCTCCTCCTCCTCCTCCTCCTCCTCCTCCTCCTCCTCCTCCTCCTCCTCCTCCTCCTCAGTCCTCCTCAGTCCTCCTCCTCCTCCCTCCTCCTCCTCCTCCTCCTCCTCCTCCTCCTCCTCCTCCTCCTCCTCCTCCTCCTCCCCCTCCCCCTTACTCCCCTATCACTCCGCTTCCCCCCCATCGCGTGCTCCGTCACGGAAGGCGGCGGCCGCGGCGCGCCGGGAGCGCGCTGGTCGGCGGGAGGCGGGGAGGCCGCGCCCTCGCGGCAGCCCTCGGAGAGGCGAGAGGCCGCGGCCACAAGGGGGCTGCCGGGCCTCCGCGCCCGCGCACGGGCGCGGAGGCCGGCCGCGGCGGCGGGCCATGGCCGCGGCGGCGGGCCATGGCCCGGAGGCCGGCCGGGCCATGGCCGCCGCGGCGGCGGGCCATGGCCGCCGGGCCACGTGGTGCGCGAGATGCCGGGAGCAGTGGCGCCGCGGCCGCCCTCCTGCGCCACCCCAGGGGCGGCAGCGCAGATCGGTGGCGCCACAACACATTGGAGGCCCGACCACAAAAGACCCACCACGAGGAGCCCAGCCCTGAGACCCAGGGCGTCCATGGATTCTTGGTGCGGGGACGTCGCGCTTTCCATGGCAAAACCGTCGAAACCCAAGAAACCCAGGGCACCCTGGAGGCAAATAGGGTGTTTCTTGGCATGGGCCTCACGAGGATGGGCGGGTCGGAGAGCTCCACGGACACCGGCGACGTGGCCAGCCACCACGGCGTGTCCAGCACGGTCGCTGGCGCGAAGGCCGAGGTCAAAACGGTCGAGCCGGCCTTGCCGCAGGCCGGGAACGTGGAGAAATCACAATCCACGTCGGAGGACGCCTTTCACTGCGAAACGCGGCCTCATGGGCTACTGCTTCACCATCCGCAACACCACGCAGGAGGAGAAGCTGCAGGACCAGTTTGAGAACGGCTAACGTTGAGCTCATCCTCCTCCTCCTCCTCGTCCTCGTCCTCGTCCTCCTCCTCCTCCTCCTCGAGGCGGTGCAGGATAACCCTTCGCTGGCTCGGCGTGGCCAAGGCGGCGGGCGCCGCAGGCTTCCAAGTGCAAGCGGAAGGAGCTGGAGGGCATCGTCAACCCGTCTTCGCAAGGTCCTCGGTCGCGGTTTCCGCGAGGACCACTTCGAGGCGACAGATTGCCTTGCGAACTACTGCTGCACAGTACACAACCTGCAGGAGGAGAAGATGCGGGACAAGTGCGAGGAACACGTCAGGTGCAACGTAAAGGTTGCGGTGCTGAAAGCCCGGCTGGACACACCTAAAATCACTACCTTAGCATGTTTCCAGATCATGCTGGATGCCTTCGGTGCTGAGCGTCACGGGTCTGATCTTCAGGCGAGTTGCAGTCTTGCGATCTGCAGCACCTCGCAGGCGGAGCAGCTGCAGAACAAGAACACGGCGCGTGGCTCGAGTCCGAGCTGGCGACCGAAAGGGAAGGCTCGCCACAGCTCAACGCCGCGGTTGAGATGCTCGAATCACGGCTGGCGACTGCGCGCCACGTTATCGCGCAGCTACACCAGCAGGTCATGGACCAGGAGGCCCGCGGGGAGGAGGTCGAGACGGCGCTCCCGTTCTCCTGGAATGCGATCGGGACTGGAGGCTATGGTGCTGATTTTGAGTGCCGCGAGTGCCCCTCTGCGAGCCAGCAGCTCTCTGGCCGGGCTTCGCCGAAGGGCGGGGGTCCAGCGGACGGTTGGTCCCCTGCCTCGCACCCTCCCTGTCCCTCTCTGTGCCTGAGCCGAGGGATGGCTGATGACGGATCGGGCGAGGAGGGAGCCAACCGGGATGTCTGGGAGAGTCACCTGCAGCGGGAGCGCGGCCATCGGCGCGCTGGGCTTGGCTCGAAAACCTCGGGCATGGTTTGGGCCGTGGGTTTAGGTCGGGCATGCCCCCCTACAGGCAGATTTTGGAGGACAAGTGAAAAATTATCCCAGTGCGACCCTACCTAGAAGTTGGAGCCCCTAGGAAAGCAGCATTAGTAGCAACAGTAAAGCTGAGCTAAAGCTAAAGCTAAGCTAAAGCTAAGCTGAAGCTAAGATGAAGCTAAGCTAAAGTTAAAGCTAACGCTAAGCTAACGCTAAGCTAAAGCTAAGCTAAAGCTAAGCTAAAGCTAAGCTAAAGCTAAGCTAAAGCTAAGCTAAAGCTACTAAGCTGAAGCTAAGTTGAAGCTAAGCTAAAGCTCAGCTAAAGCTCAGCTAAAGCTAAGCTAAAGCTGAGCTAAAGTTAAAGCTAAGCTAAAGCTGAGCTAAAGCTGAGCTCTAAACCTAAAGCTAAAGCTCAGCTAACGTTAAGCTAAAGCTAAGCTGAAGCTGAGCTGAAGCTAAGCTAAAGCTAAGTTAAAGCTAAGCTAAGGCTAAGCTAACGCTAAGCTAACGTTAAAGCTAAAGCTAAGCTAAAGCTAAGCTAAAGCTAATCTAAAGCTAAGCTAAAGCTAAGCTAAAGCTAAGCTAAAGCTAAGCTAAAGCTAAAGCTAAAGCTACAGCTCCCAGGGGACTGGGGGAACCGCGGGGCGGGGACCGGGGGAACTGCCCGGGGCGCTTTCCATTGCCCGGCCCTTTAAGCTAAGAGAGTAAGAACCCTTCTAGGCAGAGCCTAGGTAGGGAAATAGCCAAACACAATGCGCCAACGTGATGAACAAAGAATCGAAAAATCGTACCCGCACTATGTTTTGACAGTGTTCTGAATACTCCCAGCGGCGGCTGCTCCCAGAGACCCGACGTCGTGTTTTTTTCAATACGGGGTCCCCGGAGGTCTCGACCCACTCTCCCGGGCCGGTGTTTCGTCCCGAGTCGTTTTTCGACGGTCCCGTGGCCCGGCGAGGGCTCCTTGAGGCCGAAAATCGCGAAAAACCTCCGTCTTGATTTTCTCAGTGCGTTGGATCTCTGGGCTGGCGCCTCGCGTCCCCGCGGAAACGGCGTGTGCATGCTGGCCGTCGAGCTCGGGCGGCGCCACCTCGTGGACTCTCTTCGCGCACCGGCCACGGCCGACCCCCGAGGGGAACCGCCTCCCCCTGGGGCCGCCCTTCCTTCGAGGCGGCCCCCCCTCGTCCGCGAGGTCGGCCAGGAACGCGTCTGGAGGGGGGGCGGGGCGGCAAGCATGGATGAAGGGGCCCCAGGACACACAAATCAAATACGCACAAATTCGCCGGCCCAACGGGCCAGGGCGTGCTAAGATCTCCGGTAACTGGTTAACAGTATTAACAGTATTTCTAGTTCGCGCGCGCGGGGCGGCCCCTGGGGGTCCCCCGGCGAAAAGTACCCCGACCAACGCCCGGTCGCCGCCCGGTCGCCGCCCGACCGCCGCCGCCCGACCGCCGCCCGACCAAGTCTACTCAGAGATGGTTTTCCTTCTGGGTGCGGCCTCTCAGGCTCCCCAGAGCGCGCTCAGAGTGCCCCAAGAGGCCCCCAAGACTGCCCAAGAGGCCCCCGAGACGCCCAAAGAGCGCTCGAAGACGCCGAAGATGACCCCAAGACGGCCCAAAAGGCCCCCAAGACAGCCCAAGAGGCCTCCAAGACGCCCCAAGAGCCTTCCAAGAGGCCTCCGAAGAGAGCCCCAAGAGGCCAAAATCGTTGATTTTCATTTGTTTTTTCGATGTTTTTTGTGTTCTGGCTTTTTCGGCTTCCGGACGCTCCAAGACGGCCCAAGAGGCCCCCAAGACCGCTCCAAGACGGCCCACGAGGCTCCCAAGACGGCCCCGGAACGGCCCAGGAGGGCCCCCAAGACGGCCCAAGTGCCGCCCAAGACGGACCAAGAGGCCCCAAGACGGGCCCAAGAGGGGCTCAAGAGGGGAACCGAGAACTGAAAAATCGAGCCCTCCGCCCCAGAAGGCGCCCAGGAGGCCCCAAAAAGGCCCCAAGAGGCCCCCAAGAGGCCCCCAAGACGCCCCAAGAGGCGCCCAAGAGGCCCAAAAGAGGCCCCAAGAGGCCCCAAAACGGCCCCCAAGAGGCCCCAAAATTCGGCTAGCCCACAACGGTGCGACACTATGGGCCGGCGGAATGAGCGAAGCGATTAAATAAAAACATATCCCCCATCGTTTCCCATAGTTTTGGGGTTTCTGTCTTCCCCCCCCCACTTCCCATATCTTCCCATATTTTTTCTAGGGAATCGACGATTCATTGTGTCTGTGTGTGTTTCTTTCCCTCCTGCATGGAGCACGAAGAATTGAGGGGTCGGCTCGCGGGGCCGCTGCCCGGGCAGCCGCTGCCCCTCGGGGCGCTCTCTCGGGCGCTCCTCGTCCGCCGCTCCGGCGGGCCGCCCGACGCGCCCGCGCCGCGTTTTCTCTGAGCTGCCTCGAGGACGGACCCAAGCCAAGCCAAATCCTCCTCCTCCTCCTCCTCCTCCTCCCCTCCTCCTCCTCCTCCTCCTCCTCCTCCTCCATCTCCTCCTTTTCCTCCTTTTCCTCCTCCTCCTCCTCCTCCTCCTCCTCCTCCTCCATCTCCTCCTCCTCCTCCTCCTTCTCCTCCACCTCCTCCTCCTCCTCCTCCCTTTCATTTTATCTTCTCCCATCGCGCACCCCCGCCCGCCTCCCCTCCTCCACTCCTCGCCTCCTCCACCCCCTGCTCCTCGTCCGCACCATCCTCCCTCGTCCCCGTCGTCCTACTAGCTGCCCCCCCTTTCTCCTTCGGAGGAGGAGAAGAGGGAGGAGGAGAAGAATGGAGGAGGAGGAGGAGGAGGAAGAGCCTCTTCCAGCCCACTAGCATCGAGCGACTCCGACGGCGCCTGCCTGCGACGCCCTGCACTGGCATCGTCGTGCTGCACGGGGTCGTCGACGGCGGCAGGGGCGTGGTGGTGGGCGGCGGCTCCGACACGCCGTCAAAGACGGAGAAGCCTGGTGGGATTAAGTTGGGCCTGTCCTCCTACAGGGAGATCTTGGACGGAACATTAAGTATACCCCAAACATACTTCCAACATGCTCAAAAAAGTCAAAAAATAGTCCCCAGACCATTTTTACTACTATTTCTAAATATTCCCCCTGTAGAGAGACAGGCCCGACATAACGGTGGGAGAGAATCGCGCCGAAGCAGCCGCCTCCTCCCCTCCGAGGCCTCAAACGTTACGACCAGATGAGAGCCGACCCTTTCTCCAACCTTGGGCAACCGAACGTCCGCCTCGGGCCGCGGGCCAACCCTGGGAGGCAACCAGCAGCAACACGAGACGGATATGTGCAGGACGCCATTCCGCTGGGCTCCGAAGGGCACAGGCAGGGGGGCAGGGGCAGCTGCGCATGTAGCAGCGCCCACTGGGTCGAGGTTTACATCGATCTGCGCCAGGTGCAACTCTGGAAGCAGAAAAACAACGCCATGAACATAAACTTTTTGGCGCTCCGCGTGGATTTATTGGATCCGCGCTGGCTCCCCCTCCCTGGCGCGCGGAGCCAGGGGCGGCGCCGGAAGCGCCGCTGGGGGGACCCAGCGCGGATCCGCGCGGAGCGCCAAAAAGTTGATGTTCATGCGTTGTTCTTCTTCGACAGGTGCAGCTCCGCTGGCTGGCTCCTCCCCCTCCCCCTCCTCCCCCCTCCTCCTCCTCCCCTCCTCCTCCTCCTCCTCCTCCTCCTCCTCCTCCTCCTCCTCCTCCTCCTCCTTTTCCTCCTCCTCCTCCTTCCAGGGGCGTAGGAAGCAGCTGTTCGCTTGGCAGCACCCGGATTCGGCGAGGCCTCTCGAGATCTGCGCGGGGCGCCGCCTCTCCGCCGGAGGCCCCCCGCCCCCCCGCCCCCGAGGAGCGCCACGAGAGCGGGGCCAGCTGTGCGTTCGGCAGCACCCAGTGGGAGCGAGGCTTCGTTCGGGATTGCATCTGACGTCGCTCCGCTGACCCTACAAAAAGGGGTGAGGACAGCGAGCGTGTGTGCTGCGCGTTTGCTAGCACCCAGCGGGGGGGAGGGGCGGGGGCGGGGGGGGGAACGCGACACATGACCCAGACTTCGATAGGACGCCACTCAGCTGGACCCCTGGGGGGGTCAAGAAAGCAAGCGTGCACGTTTTCGGCAGCGCGCCAATGAAGGAAAACTCGTTTGATCTGCGCAGACGTCACCTCTCTAGACAATCCATAACGCTCAAGATAATGCCGACATGGTGCTTAGCAGCCAGCCGAAGCTCACCAACACAAATCGTGTATTCGGAATGCCGCGTTTCCTGGCGAAACGCCAAGTGGACCAGGTCCTGGGCAAAGGGAATTCATATGTGCTCGAAGCGATGGCGCCTCGTTTTGGTTGGGTGCTGGTGTAGTCGGCACCGAAGCGGGTGTTGCAGGTGGCGAGGCGCGGCTGAATCTTGTTCGGCGTTTTGGCGGTCTCCATGGCGTATGCGGAGGCCTCTTGCGGCGAAAGTTGAAATGTGTGTGTGTGTGTGTGTGTGTGCATGTGTGTGTGTGTGCTGCTGGTTTTTGGGAGGGGATTAACGTCGATCCCCCGCGCACGGGTGGATCCAGGGTTTACCCGCTGCGCGACATAGGCGCCCTTCAACGACCCTTTCTACACCGCACCGCCGCGCGCGTGGCCGCGACGCCGAAATCGCGCCCGTCTGTAAGCGCCGCTGCCGCTGCTGGACCGCCGTCGCCACTGGGAGTGGCGCGAGGGAGCAGCGGCGGCGCCGGCGGGCGGGCGGGGCCTGCAGCGGCGGCCGCGTGGCAACGAGCCGCGGCGCCCAGAGGGGCCTGAGCAACGCTGCAGGTCTCACCGAACCGCGGGCGAGGTTCGCGCGAGCCCGCGGGGGAAGGAGGCGCCCCAATCGGGCCCGGGCCACCCTCGGCGTCGCTGCCTGCGACGGCTGCGCATTCCCGGTCGAGAGGAAGGGGGCAGCAAGAGCAGGGGAGACAGGAAGGGCAGAGAGGCCCCCTGCCCTGGGCGCGCCCGAGGGGGACGAGACCTCTGCGGAGACCCCCGGCGGTCGCTCGACTCCACCTCGGGTCCGCTCGCGGCCGCGGGCAGTCGGAAGCCGGGCAAGGGCTGCCAGATCCGTGGCTGCCACAAGTCGACCTCCGGGAAGATGTCTTCGTCCTTCCGGGAAGAAGCCCGTTGACTGTTTCGCGTGCCGCGCCTCATTCCTCGGGGGCGGCAAAGAGGGGGGTGTCCAAAGGGGGGGGTGCAAATCATGACCGGCGGCACGTGCGCGGCCCAGCGGGGGGGCCTGGGACGTAATGAAATAAGAAGAGGCGCCCTGAAATCTGGGGAAATATAATGGCCCGCGCCATGAAATCACCCCCCCCCTAGTCATCACCCCCTTCTTTTCCGCCCCCGAATTCCGGGAAATTGCCTTTTCCTTCCAGGAGGGCCGCCTCCCGAGACAGACCGGCGGCGGCGGCGGGCGCGGCTGCGGCAGCGCCGGGAGCAGCAGGCAATGCTCGGCCGGAGGCGGCCGGCCCGGGCGCGCGCCCGAGCGAGGAGAACGCGCGCTCGCGGCGAGCGGTCCGCCCGGGCGTCGGGGGCCGGAGGCGCCCGGCGCTGGCGTCGCCCAAGTTGGAGGCCTGGAGTGAAGGGGCCCTGAGACACAGAAATAAATACACACACAAATAAGAGGATTTTCCCAAATTTTCTATATCTTCTACGTGTCTGTCTTCCCCCAATTCCCATATTTTCCCATTTCTCCTGGGAGTCGACGACGAATTGTGTCTGTGTGTGTTTTTCCCGTCCTGATGGGAATGGGCACCAACGCCAACTCAGGGGGTTGCCTGCACAGGGGGGAGATGATTTCAGATTTCGGCTTTGGTGGTAATATTTCGGCCACCAGGGTGTCACCGCCATCGCCGAAATCGGGATCTTCTTCCCTCGCTGGAGGCAGACCGCCGAAATCGGTGTTGGCGTCAACCTCTAGGCCTGCGACACAAGTCTTGGACTCGCGCTCGGTGAGGGAGAGGGAGAGAGAGAGGTATATATATATAGAGAGAGAGTGAGAGAGAGAGACAGAGACAGACACAGACACAGAGACATAAAGACATCTATCTATATATATATATATATATATATATATATATATATATGTATATAGAAAGAGAGTGAGAGATAGGGATAGAGAGAGAGAGAGACAGACAGAAAGAGAGAGAGAGAGAGGGAGAGAGAGAGAGAGGGAGAGAGAGAGAGAGAGAGAGAGAAAAAAAGAGAGAGAGAGAAAAATCAACAAAACAAACATATGATAACATACAACAGATAGAGAGAGAGACATATAGAGAGAGAAACAACACGAAACAAAAGAAACAAGGAAAACAAACATAGAGAGAGAGAGAGAGCGGTGCTGTCCTTTCGCCATCGCGACATGCCGCCTGCAATCCAACATGGAGTCGGCCCTGGCAGCGCCGGCCAACGCCCCAGCTCGCCCAGCCCAGCAGGCGACTCCGCGAAGGGCCAGCGCAGGCGGCGATCGGCGCCGGGCGGCGCCCGCGGGCGGCCGATGCGCTTCGCCCAACGGTCGGCCTCGACGTCCCCGCGGCGCTGCCGAGCAGCGCAGGCGCGGCGGCCGACGTCCCTCCAGCGTGGCGCGGTCGAGCAGGACCGCGGAGGGGCTCCGCGGCCCTGGCCGGGGCTGGGCCGCGCCCATGGGCTCGCGCCCGCTCTGCCCGCCCAAGCCCCATTGTTGCTGCCGCGGCGCCCGGTCGCAACTCTTGCCCGGGGTGGCCCGGCAGCATGATCGCGCTGGGCGCTCGGCCTCCCGGGCGGCGGCGACGGGCCGTCGGAGGCGGTCGTGGATCCTGCCGCGGGCGGCGAGGGCGAATGCGCCCTTCCCGTCTCGGGGCAAAAAGTATCTTCGCGACGGAGGTGGGCCGCTGGCGCGAGGTCTCGGCCCCCGCGCCGAGGTCGCCCGGCGCCTAGAAATCGCGGGGGCAGAAGGCGTCGAAGGCGGACGCCGATTTCTGCGAGAGGACCTGGAGACGCCGCGCAAGCCGTAGCCCGAGGGCCGCGCGGGCCTGGGGCCCGAGTCGCCGGGCCAGACTGGGGCCTCGCGGGGCTCGCCGAAGGCCCTATCGAGCGACTACTCCTTGACGAGCGCCTCGACCGCCCTGGCGAAGCCCGCGGGCCTGGCAGCGCCGGCGGGGGCAGCGCCCTGCAACTGCACAAGGTTTGCCGGCGAAGCAGGCGAGGGCGGCGCTCGGCTGCCAGCCGAGCGGGATCGGCGATGGCGCGTGGCGCCCCAATGCCGCGCGCGGCGCGCGCGGCGGCCCGCCGGCCGAAGCGCTGTGGTACGTCGCGCAGGTCGCTCTCGGCGCAGAGATTGGCCCACGCGACGCCGACGGCGCCGCGGCCTCGGCGGCGGTCGGCGCCGGGCAAGCGAAAGCCGAACCCAGGGGCTGCAGGGGCCGGCACCAGCTCGAAGGAGCCGAGGCCTGCCCCTGGTGGGGGCCCAGGGCTCGCAGCCCGCGCAGGCGAGTCGCTAGCGCGCTCCAGGCGGCAGGCGTCGCGCACCGCCAGGGCCCCATCCAAATCGCGGCCGCGGGCGTTTCGGGCAGCCCGGGCGGCGGCGCGGCCGCGGCGACGCGGCGCAGATGCGGCCGCTGCGCGCGGCGCGCGTTGGCAGCGTCGCGGGCCAGGCCGCGCATATGGACTCCGCCGCGGCGGCGAAGGCCCGCGGCGCCGCGCCGGCGACGGCGGCGTCGGCCACGGCGTCGCGGGCGCTCGCCCGAGCGGCCGCGAAGTCGAGGCCGCGGCGCCAGAAGGGCCGCGGCCTCGGGGGTCTTTCGGGCGCGGCCGAAACCTGGGCGGCCGCGGGGCCGCCGGCGCGGTCGATCTCGAGGAGAGAAGGCCGGCGCGGATAGAAGGATTGGCGCGGTGGCCCGCCCGCGAAACTGTTGCGCGCGCCGTCGGCCGGTCGGCAGGCGCCGACGCGCGGCGCGATGGCGGGCGCCCGCGTCTTGCCGCGCCCCTGTAGACGGGGCGCCAGTGAACGGGGCGGCAGCAGCGGAGGGGCCTCTTGAAGCGGGAACGGGACGACGATAAATTCACCTCGCACTAGCGCGCGATAAATCTGGGCGACATAAACGCCGATGCATCGTCTCAACTCTACGCGGGGGGGGGGCCCTTGCACTTGCGCGCGAAAAATCAGTTATTTGAAAAACGCGCGTGAAGGCGCACCCATAACTGCCGACCCGCGCACTACCGCCCCGCTTGCAGAGCCTTGGTCTTAGCGAGAAAGTCGCTGCATGGGGGCCAGGTCCGCCGGGCTCTGGCCGATGTTGTCATCTCGAACGGTGCGAGCCAACGCGGCGGCGGCGCGAGCTGCAGCGGCCCGCCGTGGCCAGAGCGCCCGCGGCCGGCGCGTGGGCACGCCGGCCCAACTTGACCAGCTGAGCGGCAGAGTCACGCACGGGCCTGCTCGCCCGTCTGGCGAGTTCCCGGGAAGCCCGCGAAATCGCAGGCGCGAGGCCCCAGCCGCCCGAACAAGCCTTCGAATGTTGAGCGCGCGCTCGCTTGAGGGTCAGCCCGCGCCTGGTCCGCCTGCGCTGGCGGCCAGACGGCGCAGTGGACCTCGCGCCGCTTGGCGGCGCCCCGCAGGAGAGCCGGCGCCTCGGCCATGCTCTTGCGCCCCTCGCTGTTGGCACCGCAGAAGAACAAAACCAGGCCGCCAGGATCATCGCAGGCCATGAAAGCAACGAGAGCGTCGCTCTCGCGTGGCTTCTGCTGCACCTACTGCGCCCCATGCATCGGGGCATCTCCGTCGCCCGCGCTGGGGGCGGCCGCGGGCGCAGGCGCCGGGGCCTGGGCCGTGCAGAAGCCGTCGACGGTGGCGGTGGCGCTGGCGAAGACCTCGTTTTTCGTCTTACCCGCGAAGGCAGGGTCGGCCTTGAGCTCGGCAGTCTGCTCCTGCAAGGTGCTGAAGGGGGCCTCGGGCTGGGCGGGCGCGAACGCGACGGCCGCCTGCTTGCTGGGCTCCTCGAGCTCGGCCTCCATCTTCCGTGCTTTCTCCTTGGCGACGCGGGCTGGTGCGTGGCCTTGGGCGCCGACTCGGCGTCGCTGGCGAGCTGCGCTTGGGCGTCGAAAACCTTCCTGGAGAGCTTGTCCACGAGCTTGGAAGCGCTGGCACCGCCAGTGCCTAGCCCCAGCACAGAAGCCTGAAGCCTCACCCCGACGGAGGTGCTCGACCTTGTCCCGCGAGCTGCGCGAGATCGGGACCTTGATCGCCTCGTGCCACATGGCGGGCTCCATCCCGACGTAGAACTGCAGCGTGCTGTCGGAGAAGGACTAGGCCTGGGGCTGCTGGCCTCCGCCGCCTTTGCCGCCGCATCCGCCCTGGCCTGGGGCCTCGTGGGGATGCGCTGCCGCGGCGGTCTGGCGGGGGGCCGTTAGCCCAACGCCCTCCAGGGACGCGCACATTCCCGCCTGGTTACGGCTGTGGCGAGGTGCCGCGGCAACCAGTGCAGGCGCACTTCGCGAAGAACTTCTTGGTCAGCGGGGCATGCTTGCGACGTACTGGGCGCAACCAAAACAGCATGCGGCCTGAAATAATTACGCGCAAAGGCCGTTCTGGATGAAACCGAAACTCGTGCGCGCAATGGCGTTGGCCGCTTCGCCCGCGAACAAGGCCTGGGCGAAACGTTCCGTACGTGTGTATGTGTGTGCGTGTGTCTGTCTGTCTGTCTGTCTGTCTGTCTGTCTCTGTCTCTGTCTCTGTCTCTGTCTCTGTCTCTGTCTGTCTGTCTGTCTGTCTGTGTGTGCGTGCGTGCGTGCGTGCGTGCGTGCGTGCGTGCGTGCGTGCGTGCGTGTGTGCGTGCGTGCGTGCGTGCGTGCGTGCGTGTGTGTGTGTATGTGTGTGTACGTGCGTAGGCGTGTGCGTGAGCGTGGGCGTGTGCGTGTGCGTGAACGTGGGCGTGTGCGTGTGCGCGTGCGTGTGCGTGTGCGTGCGCGTGTGTTGCGTGTGCGTGTGCGTGTGCGGGTGCGTGTGCGTGTACGTGTACGTGTGCGAGTGCGTGTGCGTGTGCGCGTGCGCGTGCGTGTGCGTGGGCGTGGGCGCGTGCGCGGGCGCGTGCGCGTGCGCGTGCGCGCCCAAGTGCACGAGCGAATGCAAGAATTGTTTAGAAACTCGTAGTGCGAAACCGTGTTTTATGTATTCGGGACATTCGGTTTTGAAATTCCTACGACATCCGCAGTTTCTGAAGGAATTCGGCTTGCGTGCGCGACGACGCGCACGTGTGCGCACTTCGTCCCATGTGTTGCAAAGGATCCTAGAGCAATGAAGATGTTTGATGAACGAGGGCGCGCGCAACATATCCTGTGCAGAGGATGGGGGGGGAATATCGGTCTGGCTGGGATGATCTGAATTTAAATTGCAGGTGCACGATGGTGCAGAATCATTTGTAAGTTGCAATACGAAATGGTGAGCGGTTAAGTCCAAGGGGGGGGAGGTGGATCCTGTTACTCCTCTCTAGAAAGGAGACGCTGTGCGAGGCGGCGACGGTGCGGCGACGGCGGCCACATAGCCGCCAGACCGACAGACAAGCCATGACGAATGGCTGCGACGAGGCGGCGACGGCGGCCCCATAGCCGCCTGACGGCAGTTGTGCATCTATGGTCTTCCCGTAATTCCGAATTATGGGAAACCCATAATTCGGAATTGCGGGAAGCCCGTAGATAGACGACTGCCGCCTGCGAATTATGGGAAACCCATAGGCCGCCAGAAACCCCTAGGGAATCTGGCGACAGGTGGGTTTCCCATAATTCGGAATCTCGCCGTCGAGTCACCGCTTCTCACAGGTTACCCCGCGTCGCCCGACCGAAGACACGGCCCAGTTCATTAGAACAGACAATGAGAACCTCTCGGTGCAATCACTGTTGGAGGAACAGATGTGTACATGGCTTGGCGGCGGACCCAGCCTTGAGCAAGAACCCTGAACAAAAGCAACCACTTCTTCAGCCCCTCATCGGCTAGTAAGAGTGACCCTGGGTAAGAGCCGCGGGGAGGCCAACTCCAGGTTCGCTAGCCGCTGCTGCCGCTGCGCGTTCAGCCATCTGGGGGCCCATCTGCGCCCGCACCAAAGGTCACTCCGACGAAAGGTCACTCTTACGTCTAGTCGACCTCAGAAAGAAGCAGCCATTTCATCAACCACTACAGCAGCAACCACTTTCTCAACCCAAATGATTCCTTCGGAGGAGCCTGATCCGCCACCTCAGACGTGGATGGATCGCTCGTGTGCAGCAGCATCGGGGCCGCTCACAAACACGCATGCGCGTGCAGCCCATTCGCCTGGGGAAGCGAAACAGGAACCATGTCGATCGGAAAAGAAACGGATCGCCAGCGAATCTTCCCGAATTGAATCGAAATCGGACCGCCGCGCCTGGCTATGGCCGGCCCCGACCGATGCCAGCGAGTCGACCCGAATCGGATTGAATCGGAATCGCGGCCTCAGCTGATGAATCGAATCGCATCGAATCGGATCGTAGGCGGCACTGACTGGGGATACCAAAGGATACCGATACCGCTACTCCCTGGACCTCCTCCGGGGTGCTTTGTTGACCAGCATCTCGAGGCGAATCCAGCCGTGACGACGGGGGCCTTCCAGGAGGCCCGGCGCAAGACGGCGAAAGCGAGGGAAGGGTAGTGTAATCGGTGAATTTCCCTCCCCTGATCACTGATCTCCTCGTCTACCCTTGGACCCGAATGGCGGCGCGCAGAGGGGGATCGGGGAAGGGTGGAAGGCTTCTTAGAAGCACACCCTGCTTCTCAGAAGGCGCGGGCCTTCTGTAAAGATGTGAGGCCGGCGCTTTCTAAGAAGCAACATCCTTCTAAGAAGCCTTCCCCCTCCCCCCACCCCCTTGCCCAGACATCCGACGTCTAGATTTTTTCGAGCCACGGGCCCCGACTTCCCCGGGACCCGTTTTCCGTCCCGGGTCGTTTTTTGACGGTCCTGAGGCCCGGTGAGGGCCTCGAGAGGCCGAAAACCATGAAAAACCTCCGCATCGACTTTTTCGAGATGCCCGATGTCTGGGCGTGCGCGCTGCCAACCCGAAGTGCCCCTGAACGAAAGGCGGCAGATCGGGCGGGCGGGCGGCCGTATATCTTCACGTACTCTGGGCAGTCCTGCGGGGGGGGAGGGGGAGAAGGAGGAGGGGGGGGGGGAGGGGGAGGGGGAGTCCTCGAGTCTCCTCCTCCCTCCTCCTCCTCCTCCTCCTCCTTCCTCCTCCTCCTTCTCCTCCCCCTCCCCCTCCCCCTCCCCCTGCTCCTCCTGCTCCTCCTGCTCCTCCTGCTCCTCCTGCTCCTCCTCCTCCTCCTCCTCCTCCTCCTCCTCCTCCTCCTCCTCCTCCTCCTCTGGCCACCGTTGAGCGCGGGGAGAGGCCGCAGGCCGACGCGCATGGCCGGCGCGCGGGCTCCCTCGGCGTGTCGATCTCGCAGACGCCCTCGATCCCGCCGGCAGGGTCCGGGCGGGAGCCTGCGGCGGGATGCTGGAATTCAAGAGCCGGTTTTGGAATTCCAAAAACCAGCTGAATTCCAACAGCTTGTTTTTGATATAAAAAACAGCTTATTGCTGAACTCAATGAACTTGCTTTTGAATTCAAACAACTTGTTATCGAATTCGAACCAACTTGTTTTTGAATTCAAACAACTTGTCCTTGAATTCAAAAAACAAGTTGAATTCAAACAGCTGGTTTTTGAATTCAAAAACCAATTTTTAAAATTCAAAAACCAGTCTCCTCCTGGCGGGGAGCAGCGCCAACGAGAAGACACACATCATGGCAACTGGCGGCTGGGGCTGCGGCGAGCTCCTCGTCCCCTCGAGGACGGAGGGGGCGGGGCAGGGGGATCGTCGTCGTCATCGTCGTCGTTGTCGTCGTCGCCGTCGTCGCCATCGTCGACCTCCTCTTTCACTACCCCCACCCAAGAACTTCTCGTGCCGTCAAACAGAAATCATGGCGCAAATGTTTTGGATGCTCTCGGCCTCTCTCGGGGGCTTCCAAGCGGGGGGCGTTTTAGAGGAGGGCTCGCGACTCATGGCCCGGGGCATGTGCGTGGACGAGGGGGGGGGGACAAATGGACGCATTGAAGGAAGAAGAGGGGGCCATACAATCTGGGGCGATGTCATGGTACAGGTCATGATATCCACCCCCCCCTGATCATCCCCCCCCTTCGGGGGCGGCCAAGAAGGGAGCGTCCAAGAGGGGGGCGCGAATCATGGCTGGCGGCATGTGCGTGGCCCAATGAGGCGCCATGACATCTCGGGAGATCATGGCCCACGCCATGATATCCCCCCCCCTAAGTCATCACCATCACCCCCCTCTTGGCCGCCCCCCGACCCCTTGGCCACTCCCGACTCACGGGGGACCCTTGTGCCGTGCCCCCAGGGGCAGTCGAAGCACTGCTCTTGGCCGGGAGGAGGAGGAGGAGGAGGAGGAGGAGGAGGAAAAGGAGGTGGAAGGGGAGGGGGAGGAGGAGGAGGAGGAGGAGGAGGAGGAGGGGGAGGAGAGGAGGAGAGGAGGAGGAGGAGGAGGAGGGGAGGAGGAGGAGGAGGAGGAGGAGGAGGAGGACGAGGACGAGGAGGAGGAGGGGGGAGGGGGAGGGGGAGAGACAGGGGGAGGACGAGGAGGAGGAGGAGCAGCAGCAGGAGGAGGAAAGGAGGAGGAGGAGGAGGAGAAGGAGGTGGAAGGGGAGGGGGAGGAGGAGGAGGAGGAGCAGCAGCAGGAGGAGGAAGGAGGGAGGAGGAGGAGGAGGAGGAGGGAGGAGGAGGAGGAGGAGGAAGAGGGGAGCTTCACTCCGGATCCGTCGTCACCTCTGGGTGATTTCGCAAGTAGGCCTCTTCGGCCTCTGGAGGCCCTCGCCGGGCCTGGGACCGTGAAAAAACGAATCGGGACGAAAAGTCGGTCCTGGGGAAAGAGTCGGGACTTCGGGGGGCGCCGTACTGAAAAAATCAGGACGTCGCATGTCTGAGTGGGAGGGTGACCCAAACGGGGGGTGAAGACGAGGGCCCCACATGGGGCCCGTTAGGGCTTCCAGGGCCCCTTTGGGAGCCAGCAGGGACCCCAAAGGGCCCCCTCAGGGCCCCTGTCTTCGCTCCTCAGTGCGGCCCCCCCTCCCCCCCCCACCTGCGCGCCCGAGAGTCTGGGCCCTCCCGCATGCCTGGTTCTGGGGCGTTCTTCACGCCTCCGTGCGGCTTCGCAGCTCCGGCCGGCTCCCGCGGGCTGACGCTTGCCCCCGAGCCCAGCCCCGACCTCGGGCTTTTTCGCAACGTCGATCCCCTAAGGCCTGGACCCCTTCCCCAAGCCTGTGACTGGTTCTTCAGCCCGGCCCGATCTCTGACGGTCCCGAGGCCTGGACAAACAAGCGCCAGAAACCTCCCGTCGTGATTCTTTCCCAGCGAGAGGAGATGAGGGATGGGCGGGGGAGAACTTGACCGCTGTTAGCATCGTTTCGACGATCTCCATCCCCACCAGCGTGGGCTGGGCCCCGCTGGCCGACTCACCCCCCTTGATAAGGGGATATCGGCCGCTCCCTTCGGGTCTCGAGGGGCATTATCCCCCATTGAGGTGGCGAGGCGGAGGGCTCTATAGGGATGTGGATGGGGGTGGGGAAAGGGCTCGGCTCCACCATGCCGGGGGCTGAGATTCTTGAAGTCGACAGCGAGATGTCGATCCGACGATGGACCGGGGGCCCCAGACGGCCTGCCGGTCGGCCTGCCCCTCGCCCCGCCTCCCCGGCCTCTCCCGCAGGGCTGGCCTGCGCGCCCGCCCGCCCCGCGGCTCTCCCTGCGCGTGAAGGAGCAGCGCCGTGCACACTACGCTGCTGGCGCTCCGCGCGGATGACTTGAATCCGCGCTGGGCGCCAAGGTCTCTGTTTATGCCGCTTTTTCTTCGAATCGGGGATGGACTGAACCCCCTTGAGCAAAACGTGGCTTAGTGAAAACGACCTCGGGCCCAAACCTGGCGGGCGCAAGCCTGGAAAATCGCGGCCGCGGCGCCCTCCCGAGCTCCGAAAGCGGATAATTCACTGATCGACGTGTCAGGGTGGGGGTTCTGTCCACCCCCGAGAATGAATCGGGGGCGCGCAAACATGGATTGGCGATCCATGGACTTGGCGCGCGGTCGCCAAATCCATGGATCGGGGGAGGCGCCCTCCCCAGAATGCGGCCGGTGCCGCCTCGCCCGGCGGCGGAAATCCGCGACTTCCCAGGCAAGCGGGACCCGTCGCTCATCCACGCCCCCTTGATCCATGTTTGCGATCGCCTGACTGAAGAACGGGGTCCTGTGGGACGCGCAGAGACATTCTAGTACTATATGTTCTCCTTGGAGGCGCGCGTCCGACCCAAACACATAGTATACCCGTCTTGTAGTATATCGTTTCCCGAGCGGTGTGGCCAGAAAGCGCCCGCCACGACGCATATACTAGAAGATTTCTCGGTGCGCGCGTCGCCCCTGAGGGGGCGACGCACATGTAGTATAAGTGCCTATACGACCACCCTTCGGGTGATAAGGAGGTTGTGGGGGGGGAGAGGGGGGGGAAACCAACATCTGATTCAATCGATCTCACTATCGATCTCACTCAACGGGACACCACGGGACACTTGTCGATCTGACTATAGATCTCACTATCGATCTCACTCAACGGGACACCACGGGACACCACGGGACACCGCGGGACACTTCTCGATCTCACTATCGGCCTCACTATCGATCTCACCCAACGGGACACCATAGGAAACCACAGGACACCGCGGGACACCTCGGGGCACCACATCGATCTCACTGTCGATCTCACTATCGATCTCACTCAAAGGGACACCGCGGGACACCACGGGACACCTGTCGATCTCACTGTCGATCTCACTAGCGATCTCACTTTTTGGAACACCACGGGACACCTCGGGGCACCACATCGATCTCAATATCGATCTCATTCAACGGGACACCACGGGACACCACGGGACATCGCGGGACACCGCGAGCCACCGCTGGACGGGCGGGAGGGGGAGAATCCAGCGGGACACCGGCGGGACACCGCGGACCACCGGCCGCCGGAGGAGAAACATTTGGTCCGGCCGCGGCCTAGCCCCTAGCCACAGGAGGATCTCCTCTCGCCCGCCCACGCAGCTTCGCCTCGCCCGCACGCACGCACGGCACGCACGACACGAACCCGAAGCCGAAATCGATTTCCCGGTAGGGGGGGGGCTCCGTTTCACGTCGGACTCACCCGCCAACCTCCGATGTTAGGGGAATAAAAAATAACATAAACATAAAAACTCGGAGGTCCGCGCGGACTTCTCGGATCGGCGCTGGACCCCCCTCCCTGGCGCGCGGAGAGCGCGCCAGGGGCGGCGCCGGAGGCGCCGCCAGGGGGGTCCAGCGCGGATCCGAGAAATCCGCGCGGACCTCCGAGTGTTTGTGTTTATGTCATTCTTCGCTCCCCTGTATCCCTATCGCCCTATAGCCCTATCAGTAGCCTTGTAGCCCGATAGCCCCATAGCCTTATAGCCCCAAACAAATTCTGATTGGGGTTTTCTCTGGTATCTTATGTTGCATCCTCGGGGGACCTTGTCTGTCCCGTCGCGGCCCTGTCCGCGTCGAATCCGTGTCGAATCCATGTCGGACGCGTCGGATCCGTGCCGAATCCGTGTCGAATCCGCGTCGAATCCACGCCGAATCCGCGTCGAGTCCGCATCGAGCACGCGTCGGGCCCCCCAAAGAGACACCCATTTTTGGGACAGGCGAGGTCCCCCGAAGATGCCACAGAAGGTATCATTACGTTCATGTCATTCTTCGTTCCCCTGGATGTTGGCCGGACGCCGATCCTGGGCCGCCGCCCCGACGCGCCGTGGCCGGGCGCTCCGTGCGAGCGGCGTCCCGCCGCAGCGGCGAGGGCCTCCCACAGGCCCTGCCGGGCTCGGCCCCCGAGCGCCTCGAGGCCGAGGGGGGGGCCCGGGGGCGCGCAGGCAGACGCGCACACGTCCCTGACTACCTACCAGACCACCCCAACCCAACCCGAAGACCCGAATTTCGGGTTGGGGGGGGTATGGGCTCCATACGTGTTTTGTCGATGTTCCCCGACCCCCCCCCCCACTGGAAATGGAGGGCAAATTGAAGCCTTCGGGTTGGATTGGGGTGGTTTGGTGGGTGGTGAGTCCCAGGGTTCCCCATCTTGCCTACCATTTTCTGGACTTGTCTGCCTTCCCCCCTGCTTCCCATGCTTTCCCACCCTTTCCTGGGAATCGACGGTTGCCCATCGAACGGCAGAGGCAGGTAGAAACGGGAAGTAGGAATGCGTTGAAAGCAGATTGGGCTCCGCCCGCCCCCTGAAGAGGAGGGAAGAGGGGAAGCCACTCGATCATTGAAGTAGGAAGACGCTTAAAGTAGATTGGAATCTGAGAATCACAAAATACCTACTTTCAACCGCCGATGGGTCATTGTGTCTGTGTGTTTCTTCCTCTACTGAAGTTTGGATCCT